ATCGATGGAATAATCAAACCCACGAAAAAATGGCGGCATTGTTAGTTAGTTTGTGAGGACAAACCGTACACACACTGACCAACCGCGCAACACACCGACCAACCACACGAACGCACGGAACAACCGCAACAACACACGGGACGGCGGCCGTACACCGCATAAAAACGAACCTGGAGCTGGTAAAGCAGGTTCTCCTCCCTAGGGACCACCCCTTCCCCCTTCTCGATCTGCTCCGGGGTCCTGAAGAACGGGTCGCAGCTCAGCACTCCGAACCGGAGGGCGGGGACCATGAAGAGCTGCTGCAGCAGCGAGTTCATGTAGCAGGTCGCCCCCAGGTTCTGCAGCCCGACGTACCCGCACTCGGCCTTGTCCGTCTGCCGCGGCGCGTACGCCCACGACACCCGCTCCACGCAACCGGCCCCGCCTCCGCCACCGCCGCCCCCGGAAGAAGCGTCAGTCGCGAGTAGCCAGCACATGCCTGCCTTCTATTGCTGCAGCTGCCAGGTTCATCGCCGCCTACCGCCGGTTCTATCCTCGTCGGGGGCAGCGCCGCCGCCGCCGCCGCCGCCGCCGTTGCCTTTGGCGTCAGGGGAGGATGCGGACCGAGTCGGCTTCGGGGGCTTTACCGTTGCCGCTGCGGCGACGGCGGCGGCCGGGGACTGGCAGGGGGAGGAGCTCGAGTGGTGGCGGAGGAGGAGGTCGATGAGGACGGCCACGTTCGCCCGGCAGTCGGTGGCGAGATCCGTCAGCAGCCCGAACGCGTTGGCCCGACAACCTTCGGACCTGCGGGCGTCGGGGGGGGGGGCAAGGAATTACAAGCAACAACCCATGCGGAGCATGCCATCATGTTGTGGTCGGGGGGGCAACGGAGTACAGCCCACGCGGAGAATGTCGTCACGTCGTTGGGCCCGCAAATTGTTAAACCAAGCACGGGACGCACGTGCAAGGGGTGCTCAACCACTCTCAGCGCTATTGCCGCTGAAAACGTACAAGCGATATCCAGCTGAAAAAAAATAGCCGATACAAAGAAAAACACGCAAGCGCGGGGAGATGGAAGCACCAAAACCAAAACAAAAACCAACCTGCACTTGGGAGGGGCCAAGGGCCCGTGGTTGTCGTGCGTCGCGATATCGAACAAGCACTCGTGGTAGACGTGGTGAAGCAAGCCCCTCCCCCGCGTGCCCACCACCCCCCCCTCGGCCGCGCATATCCCCTCCAGCCCCCGGAGGCCCACCGCCTCCTTACCCCGCGGCCCTAACCAGCCGATGACGATGCGCGCGAGCCCGAGCAGCCCGGAGAGGTGGGCGTCGGCCGCGGTCGCCCGCGGCTTCACGATCAGCCGCATGAGCCAGACCAGCAGCGGCACCACCTGGGCCAGGGCGGGCACCCCGTCGGCCGCTACCGCCTCCGAGAGCGCCGCCACAGCCGTCGAGGCGGACTCCCGCTCGTCGGCGGACGCCGGGGCCGGGAGCGGACCGTCAATGCGGTAGAAGGACGTGTCCACATGGCCGCCGCCGCCGCCACCGTCGATCCCGCCGCGGCTGCCACCGCTGCCGCCGTTGTTGGCGGCGTTTTCGCCAGTGGCATGGGGTGATGTCGACCCGCTCCCGGCAGCTACGGGGGGCGCCGCGGGCGGGGGGGGGCGCAGGGCCGGGAGGGTGGCGCAAAGCGCGCAAGCGTCCACGTTCCCCTTGCTGAGGAAGTCGGAAAGGAGCTGGTAGAGCTCGCGGCACTTGGCCCCGTCGGGCTCGTTCCTGCCGTAGGGCACCAGCGAAATCAAAAGCTGAGCCTGCGGGGGAGACACGAGTGCAGGCATGTGGGCGGGGTGCGAACGTGAGGGAGATATCATATTTGCGGGTTCAGAACACGGCAGATTGCTGCTAGCCATGCCGGCTGCACACCATTCGGCCTGCCAAAGACCGAGCTTCGACACAAAACGGGGGCCATGACCTACTACACTACCAGCGCCACCGAACCAAGCAGAAACTCACCATAACCGTGGTCTGACTAACGAACTCGCCGCCGCCGCCGCCGCCGCCGCCACCGCCTTCGTACGCCCCCGCCCCCCCCGCGACCTCGCGGTCGATCCCGGCGAGGGCGGCCATCACCCCCATCGCGTTCTCCCGCAGCTCCCGCGACGGGGTCCGCACGAGCGCCTCCCTCACCGCCTCCCCGAACGCCGTGCTCGAGACCATGGTCATGGCCATGCCGGCCCTCGCGCTCAGCGTCAAGCACTCCTGCACGGCGGCCGTGGCCGCCGCCGCCGCCGCCGCCGCCGCCGCCGCCGACCCTCCCCCGCTTCCGGCGGGACCGGCGGGAGGCGGCGGCGGGCGGGGAAGCGTGAGAAGGTTGGTGATGATCGCCGAGCAGGAGCGCGCCGCTCGCACTGTCTCCACCAGCGGGTCGAAATCTCCCTTGCTGGCGGTAGCGGTGGTGGTCGCAGCAGCGGCGGCGGTGGCGGCGGCGGCGGGGTGCCTAGGCCTCGTCGTAGACGTTCCCGACGTCGCGCCAGCCGCCGGGGCCGCTAGCTCACGGTAGCAACGGCAGGTGGTAAAGAGAATGACCGGGAGACGCTCCATCTGCGAAGAAGGTGGAGGGGGGGGGTGTTGAGACTGGGATTTTCCACAACATTTGGCAACGTGTATGCTGTCGCTTGATTAACTTAACACACAGGCGGAGTTCTGCGATCAGAGAGCATGGGTGTGGATAGAGGAAGGAATAGGCCCAAGCCGTGGGAAAATGCTGAAAATTACGAGCAATTCACGACACCACGTCAATAACGCGCCCCGGTAGCTCGAAGAAGGTGAGGTGGGCGCTGTTGACCTCAGGCTAAAAGACGATGTGATGTGACGAAATATTGTATCCTGCTTGGCCTTGCCTCTTTGTGACCTCAGCTGATACTTTCGACAAACGTACCGAGCGGTGTAAAACTGGCGTCCGGAAAAAAATAGGATGATTACAACATTTCTCCTGCGTGACCTCCGCTGATACTTCCGAAAAACGTACAGGACGGTGCTACACTGACGTCCAAAATTTATAGCATGACTATGAAGGCAGCAGGGGCTCCTCTGCTAGAGCTGCGAGCAACAACCAAGCAGCCGCTTCGTAGGCGAGAAGTCGCCCCCTCACCAGCCTCGTCAGCTGCCGCGGCTCCGGCAAGTACCCTTCCTCCATGAACCTCTCAAGGAGCACCAGCAGCAGCGCGAGGCAAGCCAGAGAGATCGCCGCGGTGCTTTCCCCGGGCCAGCCCCTCTCCTCGCCCCCGCAGTCCCGACACCCTCGAGTAGCATCCCAGTCCCTCGTCAGCACCAGCTCCACCAGGGCATCGATGCCCCCGCTGCCGACGAACCGATCACGCCATGTTCTCCGGCCGATCTTCGCTCCACCTACACCAACGACCTCACCTACATCTACGCCGCCACAGCCGGCCACAAAATCGCTGCAAGCCCCGCCGCCGACACCAAACGCCGCCGGTTGGTACACCTCCCAGTCACCGTCGCTATTCCCATCGCCACCGCCACCGCCACCGGCGGTGGCCGGCTCCTGTCCCGCTACCCCGTTCATGCCGGGCTTTATCTCCGTAGCGCTTTCGGTGAGACCACCGCCGCCAGTGAACGCCGTTATCGCGGCTAGGCGGACGGTCGTCGCGACGGAATTGCTCTCGTCGTGTCCGGACGCATGCTGCTGCTGCTCCAAGCTCCGTTCGCCGCCGTTGCCGCCGCTGGGGGGCACGTCGGCGATGAGGAGGGGCGTGGACATGTCCCGGCTCAAGAGGTGCTCCACGATCATGAGCGAGTACAGGAGGCGGCTGGAGGAGGCGTCTTGGAGGAGGGACAGCGGGCCGCCCTCAACGGCCGCGGCGGCGGCGGCGTGTTCTTGTCGCGCAATCGTCGGTCCTGTGGTGAGGCCAATGGACCTGTGTGCACAAGAGAGTCGCGCGGGTGGACCGTTCAGAGAGGCCACTATCGAGATGAAAAACGCCGCCGTTGTTGGAAACCTCGCCGGTAGGTTGGACACACAAACGGGTTGGTTGATTAACGGAACGGCCGTCGAAAATGGACACACTCAAAGAAAGAGTCGCTACGCTACGCTATCGCATGGGCGCACAAGCGCTTGAACCCAGTGGCAGCAACGGGTCACGCAAAACTGTGACGATATCTTACGAGCGTGAACGTGCTGAACAAACCGGTAGCGTTCACACCGTCAAAGAAAAAAAAAAGATATGGAAAAAGAGACACAGCGCACGGCGCCGTGAGACCGCTGTAACGCACAAGCAAAGCTTGTTCCGGATAGCAGGTGCAGCCGCGGCCTGTGCACAAAATGCAAACGGGCACGCAGGGGCGGCACACCCGCACACGAATCAAAACCAACACAACGAACAACTACCGTCGCCTCGTCCAGATACACATCACGCCAAGACCAACCGGCAGCAGCAACCCTAACCCTAACCCTAACCCGTACTTACAAGAACCCGTTGAAGAGCCTCATGTTGGTCGGCATCTTCATCAGCAGGTCCCACACTAACACGCTCACGCTCTGCCCAGACTCCATGAGCTCGAACAGCGTGTCCACGGTTGACTGCTTCTCGAGCTCAAGGAGAGGAAGCTCCGAGGGCGGCGTGACCTTCATGCAGCCTTCGACCACCACGCTCCCGCCGCCGTTGCCAGCCACCACCCCGGCGCTGCTGACCTCCTCGACGGGCGAGGAGGCGTCACCGTCGCCGCTCGAAAATCCAGGCAGGCGTCCCGGCACCCCCTGTGCCGGCACCGCCTGCTCCGCCGGCTCCGCCGCCGCCGCCGCTTTTCTCGAGGGAGAAGAAGCGTGACCGTTGCTACCGCCGTTGCTGCTTCCGACCTCCGGAGGTTTCTTCGCCGGGCTGCTGCCGCTGCTTGTTCTGATGTCCATCGAGGTGGCGGCAGAGCTCCCAACCCCCTCGCCGCCACCAGCGCTACCGCCACCAGCGCCACCGCTACTACCGTTACCACCGCCGCCGCTGCCCTTCCATGCCCTTCCCGGAGCAGCGCCCGCCGCAGCAAGGTCCTTTCGGGGAGCCGGGTCCGCGGCGTCGCAGGAGGCCGCGCGTTTTCGTCCCCGCTGTGCGGCGGGCGGCGAGCCCGGGGCGGCGGGGCTGCTGCCTGCGCCGTCGGCCGCCTCGCTCGGCTCTCGCGAGACCGGTCTCAGTACGGTAGGGGTGGCCTTTTCTCCATCCGGCTGCGGGGGCCTGACACGGAGGGTCAGCTTCGTCCGCGGTGTGATTGTCGTCTGAGGGGTGGGCGGCCCCGCGGGGGGGAGGGGGGGGGGGTCCAACAGGTGAGCTAAAGCATTATGCCAAGTAGAGCAGCAGCCACGATAGCATTTTGTTTTTTGTCTTCACTTCAAATCAGCGCCCACATAGCATGAAAATCAAAAGCACAAGCAGCGAAAAAACACGGGTGAGCTGGTCGGTGGGAGTTACCCGCCCCTGAAGGGCCAAGAGGAGGTCTACGCGTGGGGGCTTCGTTTATTCCTCGCACCCCCCTTGTTCTACTCCGACTTCCGCAGCGTCTCTAACGCACAAAGAACCTATCCGTCCAACTGCGCTTGTCGAGGGGAGGTACACAGGCTGACATTGCTAGGGGGGCTAAGCTCTTGCTTTCTAGTTGATGCAACGGACACAAAAGACACAACGATCCTTCTAAATCTGTGGCAAGGCATGGACGAGATATTTGGAAAATCTGCACCGCCCACATCCAGTATGCCGTTGCCGAGTTAAATATGTGTGCCGTATTTGAAGGCTGAGGAATCAGCTCCCCTCGCCTCTCCTTCCACCGGGATTCGGCTCAGGGGGCTCCGTAGGTCACGTGTACCCGTACATGTCTCCCTCCCCATGGAGGTGGAGGCAACGTTTGCATGTAGTCTACTCGCACACACGCATAGTCTGTTTTTCACAGAACAACGGCGTGCGGTGCTTGGATTTACTCTTAATGTTTCATTTGCCCCCAACACCGCGGGTGGAAGGCGAGGGTTTGTTGACCTGAACGGTGATATGTAGCACCCGATAGAGCACATGCCGACATAGCACGGGGCTTGCCGGAATAGTAAGTGTCGGGGGGGGGGTGCGGGGTGGTACGCAGATGCAGCCTGGGACAGATCGTGCTCTATTCCACCAGTTCGTGGTATACTTCTGTGGTTCGGGTTGTTGCGCCCAATGCACACATATCTCTCTTCCCTCTCTTTCCTTTCTCCTCTTCTCATTTTGTCTCACCCGCTGCTCGCTCGTCTGTGGCGTGAGCCGCTTCGCCGCGTGTACCATTGAACCTTCTAGAACTCCTTGCTCCTGGAAAAACAAAGGAAAGGAACACGACAAGACGGAAAATAGACGACACATGGCAACATCGGTGGGATGTTCATGCAGTGATCCGAGAGAGAGAGAGAGAGAGAGAGAGAGAGAGAGAGAGAGAGAGAGAAAGGCGGACAGACAGGCAGAGAGCGAGAGACAGTGAGAGACGGCGTACAATAGGCCGAAAGACGTCAGCAAAGTTTTCGTTTTGCAAAGCAGTTACACATTGCTTGTTTCGGACTAAACCACACAGGCGAAAGACAGCCAAAGCAAGAGGAATAATAAAGCACAAAAAAACGAAATAGCAAGAAGGGAGAACGCTTAGGGTTAGGGTTAGGGTCACAGGTCGGCGCAGCAAGGACAAAACAAACCTTCAACACCCCCGCTTCGACGGTGGATATACCTCCAACGGGTAGTCCTTGGGATTGCATGTAGACTATATACCCTGCAAACCTACCAATGCTCCTTGCAATTTTTACCTCGAGGGTCTTGTCGTCCGCGTCCATCTCGCGTCCCCGGTAGAGCAGGCGGGTCGTGCCTGCCGTCCACTCCGGGCCCAGGCTAATCGCGACGGCCTGCAGAACGGCAGCAGTCGGCCACCAAAAACGTCGGACCGAAACCACTCACTGTTGAGACTTCAACACATTGCTCCGGCTGGGGTACGTATTACTCCGTGTCTCCAACAGGACGTCTTTAGTGCTTCTTGGTCGGACGGAACACACACACATACACACACACACCTTCTCGGGGGGGGGGGCGGGGACTAGAAATCGTGCCAGTTCACTTTTCCCCCCCCGCAGTTCAAGATTGGCGATTTTTCATTGGTCAGCCGGATAGATAGTAGCGCGATTCGAAGCTCAATCAAATAAACACACACGTGCGCACATACACGAGGTTCGTCGAGATCCACGCTCTGGTGTTTGCCCGCACAACTCACAGAAACGGCCTCGGATAGTCCTAGCCCTAATTCTTGCGACAAAAAAAAAAAAACACAGCCAAAAGACTGCAATAAATCTGCTCCCACGGTGGTTTGTATCTCGAACGGGCAGTCTCTCTGTCCTGTGATTGCACGTTACTTTCTGAAAAAACAACCACTGGTATTCGCGAAGCGTTAAACCCTGGCCGCCCAGGCAGTCTACAAAAAGCGTGGTCGATGTGTATCAGGGCAAAAAGCTTAAGAGTGCGATCGCGGGACGCGCGGGTGGTGTTCACATGATGTCATGTATCCCATGGTACCGCAAGACTCATGGATGCCTTCCGACGAAAAAAAAATTCTCTGCTCACCACCCTGAAGCATTGCACGGTCTGGCCCGGGAAGACTTGTACCTCCGTCTCCTTCCCGCCGCTGGGCTGCACCCGCACGGCCATCGTGCCGCGCGAGTGCTGCAGTAACTGCTGGTTCCCGCAGTGGCTGTGCACCGACAGCCCCTGGGCGCGCATGCGGTCGCCCGCCTCCTCGAGGTAGGCCAGCAGCAGCTGCAGGGAACGGGTCGCGCTAACCACGGCCGTCTTCCGGTGCTGCTGGGGTGTTCCGGGGGGGGGTAGGGCTCTAGGTTGGGAGGTAAACCCTCGAGTGCCAAAAATGACGAATGAATCACAGGCATCAAAAGTCTGGCGTAGTAGTAGTTTTTCGTGCAAAACTTGATGCCTCGCTTTCTCTCAGCGTGGAACACGCGAGGCTTCATGTTAATTTTCGTTGGGCCCCGGTTAGGCAGAGTTAGGCCGGCAGAAGCACAGCGACCTCCCTGGTCGGGCTCTACCACGGCCGAATCTCGCTCACGGTCAGGATTAAAGATAAGGTTGGGTTTGGGTTGGGGCTGGTCAGTTGTTTCTGTGAGCAAAGAGAGACAACAAAACAACACAAGCTTGGGTTTCGCGAACGCAAAATTATGTAAAAATATTTCGAGGCTTGGGGGTCAGGTAGGTGCTCAGGGAGTATCGCCGGAAGTACTACCGGCAAGGGCTCGTCACATCTCATGCGCTACACAACACCAACAAAACACGCACACGAAAGAGCAACAACGTTAACACCAACAACAGCAACAATCACATCACCCCCCCCGTACCTGCGCTTCCACACCAACACTGCCCCCGTCAGAAGGCGTCGCCCCCGCCCTCAGGGTGTCCGCGGCCCTCGCCAAGCGGTCGGTGCAGCGGGACACGAAGGCCGCGCGTTCTCTGGCAACAGTGTCGGCCGAAAGCTCGTCCGACACTTCCACATGGAGGCAGAGCTGTTTGGTTTGGTGCGTGCGGTCAAGAACGACCGTCAGCAGGTGGGTCAAAAGCAGAGGAGGGGGCACCCGGGAGGGCTAGGGGGTCGCCAGTACCAAAGAGCGCTTACTTCCTCGGCTAAAGAAAACGTGTCGTTGTCGTCATAGTTGGCGATACAACAACAAGACGCTGTCAACATCTTCCACATCGCGTCGCTTACACTTTGTAACAACAGGATGTCAGCTGTTATATCATGCACACTGAATATTCACGGTAATGAGGGGAGTACTACATACAGCTGTAGTTGTCCTTAGGGGCAGGTCGCAGCAAAACTTGACCCATCTCACGTCACACAGTTGTCTGGTGGGCCGGTGGCACCTGCATTGCTACTACTGCTGCCGTTGTCCCATGCACACTGTTGTTGAACTCATCCCATGCCGTCTACACCCACGTATCCGATGAAAGGCTCAGCCTGCTGCAAGAGAGGGCGCGCATGCGTTCCTAGGTCCGGTAATGCCGTCCCACAGAACACACGACGAAACTCGGGGCGCTCAACAACAGAACCGCCCGACTAGTACAAAACACGAAACTCGGGGCGCTCAACAACAGAACCGCCGACTAACACAACACACTCGGGGCACCGCTCGAAAACAGCAACTAACCTCGCACAGCTTCTTGATCGCCGCCTCGGAGACCTCCTCCTCCTCCACCTCGAGCGCGATGCTCCACAACGTCTCCAGCCCCAGCAGTTCCATGCTCACCACGACGTAACTCCCGACCCCCCCCGCCTCCCCTGCGTCTCCCCCCGCCTCCCCCTCAGGCGGCTCGAGCTCCGGCATTGGCCCCGGCATCGGCCCTGGGTCTTCGGGGCTAGAGTCAGCGCTGCCGCCGCTGCCACCGCTAGGGCTACGGGGACGTAGACATCCGCTGGCGAGGTTGGTGACCTCGAGGCAGCAGATGAAGAACCGGAACCCGGACGGGCGCAGCTTGTCGATGTGGAAGTGCTGCTGCTGCTGCTGCCGCCGGCGCGTCGTGTGCTGCCGTCTGGCCTCCTCCTCCTCCTCCGCTGGTGATTGGGCAGAGGTGGGACGACGCGCGTCGTCGCTCGCCGAGGCGGCGGCTGCGGCGCTATTGCTGCTGCCGTTGTCGGGTGTTGTTGGTGTTGACCCAACCCCGTCGCGTATTGCGCTGCCCGTGGCCTCACCATCGACGGCCATGAGATCCGGGGTTGCCACCGTCGTCGAGCCGCCCCGCACCCCCCGGCAGTGTCCGTTCCCCGCCGCCGGGCCCCCACCCTGACAGCACATGCGCTCGAAGAAAGTGCCGGCGAGGGCGGCGAGCCCCTCCGGCGCTTCCCTCCCCAGGCCCAGCAGCGCCTGGAAGCTCGAGTCCAGCTCCGCGGTGGAAACAGCCCTCTCCACGAGGGCAAGCCATAGCCCCTCCGCCTGCCCCGGCGTGATGACGTGGGACGTGGCGCACACGAGCGTCTGCAGCAGGTTGAGGCGATACCGCATCGCGTCCAGGTGGGGGTACGCCCGCCCCTCTAGGACTGCAGCGTCTACGGCTTCCCCCGACTCCAGGCCGAGCTCGCGCACCTTGTTGGAAGCGTACTCCTGCGGGCAGAGCGAGGGGGGAGGGGGGGGGGGGGGG